GGGCCGTGGGGCCACCGTGACAGGGGAACACTGAGCGGGGCTGTGGGGATCTGCGGGTGCTGTGCTGGGGAGCACTGGGGTAGGGGGCCCTGGAGAGGGCTGGGCCCGGCCGGGCCGGGGGTGCCCTGAGGGGCCTGGGCTGGGCTGGGGGGTCGTGCCGGGTTGGGACTCTTCTGTTTCTGGGGTGGAGGGGAGCCCTGTGGAGAGGGTTGCTGAGGAGCACAGGGTCTGGGGGCAGAACTGGGGAGCACTGGTGGGGGAGTGCCTGGGGATGGTGTAGGGTTGGGGTTCCCTGAGGAGGAAGGAGTGTACTGGGGAGCTGAGCTTTGCAAGTGGGTGTACTGGGGCGAACGGGAGTGGAGCGAGAGGGTTACTGGGGAGCAGTAGGAGGAAAGGGATGTCTGAGGATAATGCTGTGGGCTGTGCTGGCGAAGATGCTGCTGGGAGTGGTAATGAGGGGATAGTGCTGTAGGGGCAGCTATAGTACAGGGAACACGCTGAGGTGATGGTGGGGAAAATGGTGCCTGAGGCTTTGTCAGTGTATATCATTAGAGTGAGGTTCCTTGATACATCTGGAAGGCATGTCTGGAAAGAATTGAGAAATGGGGTTTGCAAGGAGGGGCTGGCATACTTAGAATGGGCTGGTAGGTTCAAAGAGAGCTGCAAATCAAGGAGAGAAAAAAGATGCAAGTAGCTCTTTTGGGGAATGAGCCAGGCTCTGAGAACCTCGAGTTAGAGCTGTGTGTTCTTGCTTGTCGCAGTTCACTAGTGGATGAGAAAGCATCGCTTTCCCGCTGTGCTACGACGTCCCAACCCTCCCTGATTTTGCAAAAGCGGATGTCTGACCATCCCGTAGGCATGGCTCACTTGAGAGAATTTGCCAGCCAGGTAAGTGGTGATTAAAAATTTGTTTTAAAGTCTTGTAGCAAGAGCAAGCATTAGTATGTTTGCTCTTGAAATGAGTTTAAAACAAATCACCAGAAAATCAGTTTTTGCCACTCTTTATCTCTCTTGCACACATCTCAGCTTACTCCTGTTGGGTGATTGATTTGTGTCTTATTCCGTGGTGGTGTTGGACTGACAGTGTTAGGTTGCCAGCCATATAGAAAGGGAATTCTTCGCCCAGTATGGTGCCTTTCTCTGAGGTTAACTTTGTTCTTTGTAGGGAGACAGGAATTATTGGCTGAGTATTTTTGTGAGGGGAAGTCTAGAAATGGGAACAGAAAAGCTGTGTGTGCAGGCTGTGCCAGACATATCTTACTGAAGTGTTCATAACAGTAGCCTGAGAAAAATGGTAACCTTAATGCGTAAGAGGTAGTGATATTTGATACTGAACGTTTAACTCTTCTGAGAGAGATATCGGCCTCAGTGGATGTGGTTAAATCCTGTTGTTGTGATGACATTTTCATAAGAGGAATGTGGAAGGATGATGTCATGACTTGGGACTAAAAGCTAAACCACATTAATAGTATTGGCTTGAATCTTCTTTCTTCTGAATTTGGTTGTGGGGTGTGTTTGATTATTGGCAGATGTCAATACTGAATGTAGGTCTTGTTAAACCGTGTTTTTGGAGAATTTTTGGCATTTTTCTTTTCTGCTCCTAGGTGTAGAATTATAATACTAAAAGCTTTAGTGGTTTGAGATTATGCTTTCTCCAACCCTTTTCTGATTTAAAATTGATTTGCAATGCATCTTAGTTTGCATGCTGTCTTTCACGTAAACTGTTTCCCCAAAGTGTGTGTGGAATTAAATGCAAATGTAGTGCCTGAGTGAGTCATAGTACAGGGAGAGAAATAAAGGAATACGAAAGGATACTGTCTGGTTAGGGCTGAGAACTGAGTTCTGTAGCTAGAGAGGAGGTTGCTCTGAAGGTTTTTTGTACACAGCATTCACCAATGAAGCTTCTCAGGGTTTCAGTGGTCTCATCTCTGAATTTATTATGCAAATGTAAGGCATTCTCAGATTCTGGCACCCCATGACTCTCTGTCTAGCCCTGGAATAGAAAAGCAGCCTGGGTTGTCCGTTCCTTGGTCTCTTCAGGAATCCTTGGTGGGACCTCGTAATCTATGTCACTGACGCTTGCTGGAAGGACAGTAGGAATTAGCCTGAAGTTCTGCTCACCAGAGTTTAGGGAGTGGTGGGAGGTACTGTGAAAATCGAGAGACTAAGACTTGGATTGGGATGTCAGAGGCTTGACTTGTCTTTGATTCCCAGTTCTGTTGCTGATGTGCAGGGTTACCTTAGGCAAATCCCCAGGTTGTTTTACCTCTGTGCCTCCATTTCCCTGCCTCAGCTAGCTGGCTCTCTCTCTTTTCTTGGCTGCCTTTTGCTGTATACATACAGCACAGTGGGCCTCCGGTCTTTGTTGGGAGCTCTGTCTGCTAGATGATGTATTTGTGCTACTGTGTTTAAAGCTCTGATCTGAGCTCTGTTTCTAGTTTTGTTGTTCCTTATGTGACCCTGAAGAAGCCGTTCAAGTTCTCTGGCTAAGTAAATGCTTCCCTCCCTTGAAGCAAAAGAATACTCTCTGTGAAGCAAATTGGGAGTCTCAGACAAATTTGTGTGTTTCAAGCATTGAACAGAAACTTCCCTCTTGTCTGTACTCCAGAAGTTCAAAACTGTCTTAGGTTTAGCAGTTGAAAAGAGCTGTGCACAAATTTCATATAGACAGGGAAGCTTTCAAATGTTTCCCGGTACAAATCTGATTTTCCCCAAAGACAACATAGTGCCTGCTGCAGATATCTCTGTTGGTGTCCAGAGGTTAGTGTGTAGCGTGCAATGTGGGTAAATGCTGGATGGGAAGTTGGGGAGGAGAGGAGGCAATGAAGGAAAGAAGGTCAGTAGCTGAGGTTTATTAAAACCAACTTCCTCCTACCACTGCATTTGGCAGAGGAAGATGATGTTTGTTTGTTTGTTTGGCTGGTTGGAAAGTGCTCTAGTCAGAAGTAACACTAAATGCTGCTGTAGTTCCATATAAACCTTTGGAGGCTGCCAAACTCCCAGTCAGCTTCAGCTCTTAAAATATTGTGGCCTTGACAATCTTTTTCTGTTACAGACTTCTCCCATATAGAACAGCAATTCTGATCCTGTCCTGCCCCAGACCAAGGAACTCCTACTTCCAAAAGGGTTTAAGAACCTCTCAGTGTTTTATGCAGCAGATGCAGGTGTGACTCTTGCTCATGATACTGAATACGACTCCTTTGAGCCCAGAGGGAAGACCTTGAGCTGGTTCAAAGCTTCTGTTCTCAATATGCAGCTTGTCTTTCCAGGTAGTAGCTTTGCAATGAGGGTAGATATTTACCCTTCTCTAGTCTCCTCTCAAAGGCTGTGGATATCATGTCTCTGCAGCTGGAGGTGACAGAGCTGCCAAACCCATTCTTTCCCCATGAAGCAGCTGGTGTTACTGCCAGGCTTGTCTCGTAACACACTGCAATTCTTAATTCCTGATGTCTGCAGTGAGTTGCTCTGTTTTAAAACATGGCATCATCAGTCGTGATGGCAAACACCCCCACACCTGTCATGACAGAGCATCCTTCTTTCCTGTGCTGTGAGGTTAGATTCTGGAGGGCAGAAGTGGAGCACATTACTAGCAGATTGTCCTCATCCCTCTCATACTCATTCCCTCTCCTTCCTGCATGTACAACCAAGATAGTGCTTTGTGCGCTCTCCCCCCAAAGCCTGTTCATGCCTGACTGAGCCATTTCTAGTGTCTGACTGCACTCAGTGGGGAGAGGCTTTTTGCTCCAGAACTGCTGTGTAATTGACACTCAGTCAAGCAAAAAGGTACGATGAGGCGACCATGCCTTAAAGGCTTTATGTATTGTAGTAGAACAAGGAGCAGCAGCTGGTCAGCTAGCTCTTTAGACTCTGGCCTGGAGCTCCATTTTGTAGCCCTGGTGGATTCTGTGAATGTGGAAAGAAAAAAAAAAAAGGAAAGATCCCAAGCTGGTGAGCAGTCACAAAGTTGACAGGTGCTAATAAGCTTCTTTGGGTTATCTATGCTCATTTATGCAGGTGTAGAGCGTTTCATCTGGATTCTGTTACTTTCTACTAGTGAAGTTTTTCAGGTGTGTTTGTAGCTGTGCAGCTCCAGAACATGGATTTGCAGCCAGGGTGGTTCTCTGACAAGACTGGTGCTGAGATCAATTCGTATTTAGAAAACGGAAAGATCCTGCTTGTTACACCCCTCATTGCAGTGCTCTGCAGGTGCAAATTTATTGGGGTAGGGGAGAGTCAGGCTACACAGAATGCATTCTTCTCCTCCCCTGCTCCCCCCTGTTTGAGCCCCCCGAGTGCGGCAGTGTGCTTCTCTTCTGACAGAGCAGTGCACTTGCATAGTTCTCCGTTCCTGGCATAACTGCATTTGTTCTGCTGTCTAGTGAGGCTTGTATGCCCATCGATCGAACATTTGCTCATCAACTGCAAGTTACCATGTGACAGCTCCAAGAGGAACTTTTTTAATGGACCAGAGCTTCTGAGCACGTGTCCTGCAGGCTAGCACAATTTTATCTATCTTAGTTTGTCATGGGAATTCAGAATTGCTGCCACGAAAATGCCACCTGGCAATGTCTTCTTTGGTGTCCACAATGGTAGTTCACAAGGTGTTCCACTGGGCAGGCATTGGCCTGCTTGAATTGGGAATGGGCCTGTTTTCTTCTCTGTGCTTACAGAAAGTAAAGAAATTCGTTAGCAGACTCTGGTCTGCGGCAGGCATTTAGGAGACTAACCGTGGCTGGGACGACTCTCTGCCACTTTGCCCCGTACTTGCTCACTAGGTCCTGTCTGTTGCTGGATATGACTTGTGTGATTTTGGCAACTCTGTCAAGGGGTGCATGTCCTCAGGCCCTCCATCGAGTCATACCCTTGCCCTGTCACCTGAAAGCTCTGAAGCATTTCCAGATCAATTTTGAAGTGACGGGTACTGGGAAAGTAAATCCAGTACCTACAGACGAAGTTTCCTGTTCCAACCTAATGTAGTGGGCCTGTCAGAGTTGTGTCATTTTCCTGAGTCCCTTGGGCAAAGTTGCCATGTGCTTGTCAGAAAGGTTTGTCTCCTTCACCGCCCCTACCCGAACTGTTTTGTTCCGCAGAAAACGGGATAAACTGACATCGAAGTATGGAAGCTTGTTTACGAAGCTGTCCATGCTTGCAGTAGCCGGTGCTCTTATGTTTCATGTCCTAATCTTGAAGAATTGGTCCTGATTCTTTGATGTGCCATGCCAGGCTGAGGAGGGGAGCAGTAACTTAGACCTTGCCATTTCTTTTCTCATGGAAAAATTACTTACATAGGAGGGGACGAAGGTTTTCTTGCAGGGTTGCTTCCCTGCAGGATTCATGTGGGTAGTGTTTCCTTCACCAGCTGAGGCAGGTGCTTCTAGGAGATGATCCTCTTTCTCTCCCTTCTCCCTGATGTGGTGAGTGGCATTTTTATGGTGCGGTAGGTGACTGTGCAGGGTAACGTCTGGGCCACCTTGCTGCCCCTTCCTGTAAGTTGGTGAAGAGGTGGAAACTGCTCCTGGCCTCTTGTGAGCCTGGACTAGCCAGACCGTTCTCCCTGCAGTTGTCACTCTCATGTTGCCTCCTGGCATTTCTCAAGCTCAAATCCTCTTCCTTTCCCCCGCCTCCCTCTCTCCAGTCCCTGTTATGTATCTCCAGTTCCTTTCATCTCTGCATATCCCTTCCAGTCTGTTTCCAGTGCATTTGTTCAAAGTACAGCCTGTTTGGGTGTTGCCATGGATGCACAAGGATATTTGGTTATCCTTCTGTATCTTGGACTGGAACACACGTGGAAATCCTGTTGAGTGCGTTGACTGTAAGGCTCACTCTGGGCCTGGCTTACTCCATATAGCGATGCACTGAGCACAGAAGGCAAACAACCTGTAATGACTGGCTGGCTTAATCATTAAGCAGCACCTAGGGCTGCTCAGTGATGGTGTGCTGTTAAAACCTGGTGTTAGATGGAAAGATGCAGCTCCCCTGTTCTCAGATAAAATCTCTGCCAGCTCAAGGCCCTTGCAAGGGAGTGGTCCCTGTGGGTGACGTGTTGGAGGTGAGACTGAGAGGTTCTGGGTGTGGAAAACTCACTGTAATGGCTTGGCTGCTTCCTGTAGTTCAGGCCATATTTTCCAGATTTTTTTTTTTTTTTTAAACTAGATTTATTTTTTAAAGAAGGCAGAAAATCTAATCACAAAGAGCCATTTAGTAGCATGAAGCAGAGCAGGACCTCCTGGTCTGCAGCTGGGCAGAACGAAATAACGTCAGAAAGTGATTCTGATTTCTTCCCTTTCACGTCCATACTCATCTTAATAAAGAGTTAACTTTGAAGCTGCTGTTAAAGAGTCAGTATTTCTCTGATGATGATCATGTTAGTAGCTTCCCAGTTGATGTGCTTATCTGATGAGGGAAATGCTATTTGCTTTTGTATTTGGGTGTGCTGGCCAGAGGAGAGGCTGTTCCAGAAAAGCAGGTCTGCAGATGGAGTGTCCATTCAGCTCTCCTGTCTCCTCTGGGATAGGCAGGTGTCTGGCCTCCTTGCTGCTGACCTTCCAAAAGATGCGAGGCTCCTTCTGCAAACATCTGAAGAGAGCTGCAGCAGAGAAGACAGCTAATGTGAACTGGTATTTATATTACTGGAGTATTTCACCCTCTAAACAAGCAGGGAAGGGTGCAAATCTTTCAAATCATTCCAATCTTTGAATGCAGGAAGGCAGACTAGGGAAACATCCTTGTGAACTTCCTATGGCCTCTTGCTTGTGCCCATTTTCTCATTCGGCTCTTCAAAAGAAAGGCTGGTTCTGGTACACTTTGCCCTTTTATTCAAGCGTGAACAAGTGCTTGCTCATGGAGCTGCTTTGGCACCGGTTTGGTGCCTGCGATTGAACAGTCCTGTCCCAAAGAAGCTGACACTTTCCATAGAGATACTTGCTGACATTCTCCTTCTGGGCTTCTCTCCCCTTCCTCTTCCACTATGGTCTGCAGGGGCGGAAAGCCCGTGTAAAAGGCTTCTTCAGTTCTTCTCTTCTTGGATATGTTCTGTGTTAAGTTTCTCAGCATGTGGAGACCTTTTAGGATATGTGAGTTTCGGGTGAATTAAACAACACAGTAGATGCATAGATAGGGAGATGAGCTGTCTGGGTATGCGTGGCTCTGCAGGCTGCCGTGAGACTTCATGAACTTCTCCCATCTCTGCTTTCTGGTTTAGCACTCCAGGGTGGATCCTGAGGAGCTGTTCACCAAGCTGGAGCGGATTGGCAAAGGATCGTTTGGTGAAGTGTATAAAGGGATCGACAACCGCACCAAAGAGGTGGTCGCTATCAAGATCATTGATCTGGAGGAGGCTGAGGATGAAATTGAGGACATTCAGCAAATACGGTGCTCAGCCAGTGTGATAGTCCCTACATCACCCGGTACTATGGCTCCTACTTGAAGGTAGGACAAAGCCATGGCAATTCTCTTACCAGCAGTTTGGGAATGGGGTGGGCTTCTCTATGGGTGCTGCAGCTCGTGGTGGCATACGGCACTGAAAGGTGCCCAATCTGTGAGTGTCAGTGTGGAAGCAGAAACAGCAGTGGCTCTGCTCACTGCATTTATGTGGTCTTAATAGGAGGCTGGGCTTTAAGACACTTGTGAACCACATGGAAATGAGGTGCCCAGTACAGTGCGGTCCCAAGAGCAGGGCACTTCACTGGAGAGAAAATTATTCGTTGGAGAGGCTGACCTCTCCTTGGTTGGACCATTCTTGAAAGGAGTTTTGTGGCGTACTTTTCCAAAATGCCACGGTTTTAAGGTAGTAGCACTGAGGGCTTTATGCCTCTGGAAAGAAGAGGAGTTTGAAACCGTACTTTGTGACCTTGTGATCATCATTTCATCAGAAATGGCACTTCACTGAAGAGAAAATTATTCGTTGGAGAGGCTGACCTCTCCTTGGTTGGACCATTCTTGAAAGGAGTTTTGTGGCGTACTTTTCCAAAATGCCACGGTTTTAAGGTAGTAGCACTGAGGGCTTTATGCCTCTGGAAAGAAGAGGAGTTTGAAACCGTACTTTGTGACCTTGTGATCATCATTTCATCAGAAATGATGAAAACAACAGGACATGAGTCTTCGCAGGAGTGCTGATACCGCTTCTGTTGAGAACAGGTTTAGGAATCCCCAGTGGAAGCTACTGGTGACCAGAAGCGGCCTCTGTGTGCCAGCTGCTGGAGGTGTATGTAACACTGGCTCTGTAGCAGTTATTGAGCTCTTTGGATCCTGATTATTCCTTACATATTTTTCAAAGGCCATAATGCATTTTCTCAGCCTATTACTGGAAACACCAAGCAAGCTGTGGTTTCAAGGATCTGCTGCTTATCTCCTACCAGGACCCTGTGAATGTCGCTCTGGAAATCTCTTGAGGAGTAAGAGAGTGTCTTTCTGATCGTACCCTTCAAGCTGGCAGTCCTGTTAATGAGATCAAAGGCTGCAAAGCTCCCCTGTCATTGTCAAGAAGGAGATGTGCCAGATCTGTTGGAGTGATGTTAAATGGCTCCAACCTGAGAATATGCTTATCTCTGTGGGCTGTGTAGCCTGGTGCCTGTAGGGGCACTAACCTTGCACACCGAGAGAAAGAAATGTACTGGGGGCAGGTCCACTGCTACGATGCTGTGTCAGCAGGAAGCTCCCTCCTTAAGCTTCTGAGAGCTGCGGTATGCAGCATCCTTTGGATTGTGTACAGGACTACTCATGTGTCTTGCTGCCTCTGGGGTGTTTCACTTTTCTGCCTGCTTTTATTACTGTCTTTGCTCTTGATTTGTGCTCTTGCTTGCAGGGCACTAAGCTGTGGATAATCATGGAGTACCTAGGAGGAGGTTCAGCACTGGATTTGGTAAGTATGTGGTAAGCTCTGGACCATGAAAAACGTTGGCTGGAGCCTTTGTTTGTGAAATGCCCGTAAGCTAGACACTCACTTGCCACATACCATCTTTTTGACAGTCCTGTGCCTGAAGGGTAGGCAGTGCAGGACAGACATGCTGGTTATGCATATCCTAGGACATAGGAAATGTTTGCATGGAGCTCAGCTGTCAAAGCACTGTTCTCCAGCGTGCTCTGCTGCTTTACAATGGGAAGAGCCAGTGAACTGAAATGTGTCAGCAGCCAGCCAGTTGTTTTTGAGCAGTGTGAATCCATATTTCACCTAATCAAAGTTCTGTGCCTGCAAAGAGTTTGTGGTATTGTTCAGTGCTTGCTTGGCGTCGAGCTCAGTAGGGACCTGGTCTACGATTTGATAAAACAAATTACATTTAACAAGTTACCCCAGATTTTAAGGGAATACAAATGCAGAATAAGCACATGGGGAAAGTTCTGCTGTGCTGTATTCTGTCACAGGATTTTGCTTTTCTCCTTAGGACAATAAAGCCTATTTTTCCAGAGCAGTAACTAAGGTCATGTAGTGAAAATTGCTGAGCCTGCACTGACTTGGAGGAAGGGTATGGGGGGGGGCTGTCATCAGCAGAAGTCATCTTAGTGTCAGAATCTCAATTATTGCACTAAGAAGGCAGGACTTGTTTAGAGGAGAACTGATTGAAAAGAGAAGAGCTTTCATGCAACACTCCACAGCCAGAGGGTAGAAGTTGTCTCTGGGCTGTTGCAGTGGCTGAAATTCAGTTCTTGCATGCTAGCAGAGAGACTTAAGCAAGAGAAACTGTTAAGATGTTCTGTTCACCGATGTATTTCCAGGCCAAAGCGAGAGATGAGCATCCTGTTGTTTGTCTGGGAAGCCTTTAATAGACTAACAGAAAATCCCCCAAAGATTTTCCGTTTAATGTTGCCAGGTGCAAAGTCCTGCTGCACCAGGCGTGCAGTAGGAGCTTCCTGCTG